AGGTCCGAAAATGGTTGATTATATCTTCATTGGGTATGCTCATAACAGTACTTGTGCACAAGTCTGAAAACCCTGACATACACAAGAACACGATAATAGAGTCTATGCATCATTCTTTGAACATGTATTTCCATGTAAGACTAAGGAAGATGAGCCAAGTTCATCAAAACGAACTTTTGAGACTATCATAGAAGATTGTAGTCAAAATTCTGGAAATGATGAAAATATTGAAACGGAGGAAGAGCCTAGACGAAGTAAGAGGGCAAGGATAGAAAAGTCTTTCGAACTGTATTTTCTAACTTATATGCTAGAGGCTGAACCTCAAACATATAAAGAAGCTGTGAGCTCAACTGAGGGTCCTTTATGGAAAGAAGCCATAAAGAGTGAGATAAATTCCATCTTACAAAATCATACTTAAAAACTAGTAGACCTTCCACCAGGAAATAAACTACTAGGTTCTAAATGGATTTTTAAACGAAAAATGAAGACAGATGGAACAATTGACAAGTATAAGGCCAGACTAGTAATAAAAGGCTATAGACAATGAAAAGGCCTTGATTACTTTGACACGTATTCTCATGTGACGAGAATAACATCTATAAGGATGATACTAGCGTTTGTTGCGCTGCGGAATCTTGAAGTTCATCAAATGGATGTAAAGACAGACTTTCTAAATGGAGATATGGAAGAAGAAATCTACATGGAACAACCTGAGGGTTGTGTAGCTCCAAGACAAGAGAAGAAAGTCTGTAAATTGGTGAAGTCGTTGTACAGACTAAAACAGGCACCAAAACAATGGCATAAGAAATTTGACGATGTTATGTTGTCAAATGGTTTCAAAATCAACGAGTGTGACAAATGTGTTTATGTCAAGAATACAGACGATGGTTATGTCATGCTTTGTCTGTATGTAGATGACATAATAATTATAGGTAGTAATGATCGGATGGTCAGATCTACTAAACACATGTTGAACTCAAGGTTTGACATGAAAGATATGGGATCGGCTGATGTGGTCTGGGGGATCAAAATCAAAAGGGTGCCTGATGGTCTCATATTGACTCAGTCACATTATGTGGATAAGATACTTGACAAGTTTAACAAGGATGATTCTGGTATAGCCAGAACTCCTATTGATATAAGTCAACATCAATCCAAAAATAGAGGGGAAAGCATATCCCAGGTGGAGTATGCTAGAGTGATTGGCAGTCTTATGTACTTAATGAGTTGTACAAGACCAGATATTGCCTTCACTGTAAGTAGATTGAGCAGATTCACGAGTAACCCAGTAGATGACCACTGGAAAGCAATTGTGAGAGTACTGAGGTACTTAAGATATACTTGTGAATATAAATTGCATTACACAAGAGAGCCTGGTGTTTTAGAAGGATACTCTGACGCAAGTTGGATATCCGATACACAGGACTCTAAGGCTACCAGTAGATATGTATTCACCTTGGGTGGTGTAGCTATTTCATAGAAATCCTCTAAGCAAACGGTAATAACCAGATCCACGATGGAAGCTGAGTTTGTTGCTTTGGATAAATGTGGTGAAGAAGCTGAATGGCTTAGACATTTCTTAGAGGACATTCCGGATTGGCCAAAGCCTGTACCTGCAATTTGCATACACAGCGATAGTCAATCAGCTATTGGTAGAGCACACAATACAATGTATAATGGTAAGTCTAGACATATACGTCGTCAAAATACTACCATTAGACAATTGATCTCAACAGGAGTCATAGTCCTTGACTATATAAGGTCGAAAGATAATATTGCGGATCCGCTGACCAAAGGACTGAATCGAGATCAAGTTGAAAAAATATCTAGAGGAATGGGATTGAAGCCCATGAAAAAATAGGTCGAAGCAATGGAAACCCAACCTAGCTGACTGGAGATCCCAAGATCTAGGTTCAATTGGACAACTAAATTGTCTAGACTGGCTAAGTTCATTGTGGGGGTAACCCCAGCCTATTCCTATGATGATAACAGTGAAACACATACGAGGAAAAGGTTAAACATTGGTTTTTAATGATTCTTATGCGTCGGATACGTCAGGAATCTGAGCGGAGTAATACGGGTTACTCTTCATTAAGAAATCACCTATGTGAGAGAGAAGTGGGGCCGCTTCAAAGGAGAATTGTGAGGGCTCAATTCTTTAGAAACTCTTGCAGAACCAGGTAGATGTTCATGGCCGAAACGAACATAACCATGTGAACATAACTGTGTCAGGAAGATGTTTGTGTGAAGTATAATAACGTTTACACGAAGGCAGAATAGTTTAAAGACATCGTGTCTACTGGTCAGCCAGTAAAGTTTTTGTATTCTCACAATGGAAGGTTCAAAGGGTAACGCCTACCTATCCTTTGCAGGCATCGACCGCAGAACTCTATCACCGTGTCGAGTTTGTGTTTTTCTTGTCGTCGGTCAATTTTCATTCATGTGGGGGATTGTTGAAAAAATGACTTGTTAAGCCATTTTAAAAGCCCATTTTGAGGCCCATATTCGGATGGGGCCCAATAGGTTTTTGAGACGGGTCTCGATGGATTTGCGTTCTCCGTCGCGAAGAGATTGAAATCGAGTATTCAAACACTCAAAATGGTTTTAAGGTGAATGAGAAATTGACGGTCTAAGTGTGGTACTTGGAATGGTAAATGTAGAAGGAAAATTGCAAAAATCCCACATTGGCTAGGAGTGAAGCCAATGTGGTGTTTATAAGTGATTGCACTTTGAAGCCTAAGTAAGCATGTATATCAGAGACGCTCTCTCATGCACAGGGGGGGTGCAAATCATGATCCCGGTGGGTTGGGGGCCAATGTGTACACCTGTTACCTGCGGACACGAATGCCAGACCGGAAAACCCGCTCTGTGCAAGCTGACTTTTGCAATTTTTATTTTTTTTTACTCGGCCAAGACTTTCCAGATTCAGCCAAAACCGTTTGGAGCTTAATGGAGATTAAACAAGGCTTAATGGGATGCTTAATGCCGAATTTAATTGTGTTGTTAAAGCTGGTTATTGCATCAGTTTTTTCTTGAACTTGGATATGCTTTGTGGCTAGATTCATCATGGAAAATAAAAACGTTTTGCTCCATTATTTTGCAGAAATATGGCTGGAATAAATCTGGGATTTTACACCATAATGTCTTGGTATAACACCCAGATTTTGGAGCCTATATAAAGGCCAAACTCCACATTAACAAATCACACTTTTTCTAGCAATCTCTTCCTCTCTCTCGGTTTCTCTCTTGCTTCCAAAGTTGTGTGTTTTCTTTGTCTTGTTTAGTTCGGTTTTTAGTGATAGAGGAAAGATCAAGTTCTAATTCGCCAGACGGTTCCGAAAGTGCATCAAGCTACTGTCGTTGTCGTTGTATCCTGGGAGACGGACATCCAACGTAACCTCAAGCACACGCCGGAGGGGACGAATTTGTTTTAAGAAAAACGTGGTTCACGTTCCTCGACATTCATACAATTCTGAATTTAGTAGAAAGGTTGAATTTGCATTGTACAATTTCAGTTTTTCATTTCTCTATAATTTTGATCTTCTTTGTATTATCCTATTTCGGCTAACAAATAACACCTAATGACAACTAATGTACAAATCATGAAAATCAATCAGAATATTTGACGAATCTCAATAATTCCATACATGAAATCGGCCACTTTGACGAGATCTCCTAGCGTGCAGGCCATCCTGATAGGATCTCACTGCTCTAATGCTAGAAGAATGAGATCTTTTCGCCTGCCATGTGTCTTCTTACGATGGAACATCCTTATTAAGATGACACTTTCACTTACAAGAAAGAATTGATTGGCTAGTATTGTCCTAATCAGCGCCTACCCTAGTCGGCACAAGTATAAATGGCGCGGTGTGAAAGCAGACAAATTTTATGAGTATAGATTTTTACACATTACTCTTAATTTGAGATTTGAACCTTTTAATGTGCTTTCCCTTTAGTGGATAGTGAGTCACTTAAGAAACCACCCATCGACATTCTTTGCTTCCCTATTAGTAAAATGGTAAAAATCTAAACTCATGCACTCTTAGGGTAAGGTTAGTAATTTTTTAGTAGAAAAATGCTCAAAAACCCCACAAGAGCTAAGCACTACAACCAACAAAAAGTGAGACTCACCTACCATGTGGAAGTACTCACCTTCTATTAGTGTATGATGTTCAACACTAAAATGCCCTCTAACATTACTCTATTCAATGTTTAGTTATAGGTTTTCACCACAATCACCCCCTGCGAACTTATAGTAATTTAAATTACTCTCTAAATTTTTAATTTTGACAATCAACCCCCTCGAATTTGTAAAATTATTACAATGTAACTTATTTTACTAACTTTGCTCAAATTTTTTATTAGAGTTAAGGGATTAAAAGTTGAGGAATTGAAAATTTTGTGTTACAATTGAATTGGGATATTATAATTTTTCATCAAACGTGTTTTTTCGAAACTAATTTTCAATATCGTCGTCAAAATGAGACACGTTGCAACAATTATACAAGTTGAGAGAATAACTTGTCAAAACTAAAAATTCAAGGAGCAAATTGTTAAAGTCATACAAGTTTAGGGATAAATGTGTAAAATACTCATTTGGTTACTTTGACCCGCACATTGGCACGTGAGACTTCCCACCACGTGTCCCTTGATGGGTTCCCAAAAAAAACTGCTCAACAAATGTCACAAAATTTCATATTTCATGATCACATGAAGCAATGAGTTGTTTTTTCTATTTTTTAATTGATTCAATAATGTGGTTACTAAAAAAAATTTTGATTTTAACTTTTTTTTTAAAGTTGATTTTTCGTTCAGAGCGATAAAGCCACGTTAGGAAAAGAGAACTAAACAGTAAACATATTATAACCCATCATTTCACTATGTTTACATTTAGAACTAGGAATGAATACCTCATCTAAACATTAAATTATTATTTCATATAAAAAAAAAAGTTTAATCTCATTCAATCCAAACCAATATCTTGAGAACCAGCACGCGACGATTGGCATCGATAGCTCGGATACCTAAGCTACTTAAAAACCACATAATGGTACTATCAATTAGCATCTGTTTAGTTTCAAGAGATGTATAATTCACTAGAGAGTTTAAATTCGGAGTGAAGTTGTTAAATACATACACAAATCCTCTAACTTTGACCAAAATCGATCCTTTATCACTCAGGAGAGACAAAGTATAAAAAGGAGAAACCAAACAATAGCCCCCTTAATTAGATAAAAAAGAGAGCAGGAAAGAAAGAAAGTTATAAATCGAAAAAGCATTACTCGTGTGGACACAACAATAGCTAGCATGGGACTCCTTTAAGTCAAACTTTTTATTGTGAGACAATTCTATAGCGCGGCCATTGATGCAGGGAAAATAAGGATAATAAACAGCAACCAAAATTCATCTCACAAATGTCATACTCAAGTCATTGATGGAAGCATGTGGTATTCAAACGGAGATTTCGGAGATGAAATGTCAGATGTTCTCCAGAGCAAGGCACGAAAAACTACTGATCTGTGATTTTGTCCCTCAAATATTTCAAAACCGCCTTAGTTCCTCTATCTAAGATTGTCCTCCGGATGCTGCAAAATAAATAATAAGACACTAAGGACATGTGAAGTCATGGGAACCTCATCCCACAAGGCGAAAGTAAACAAACAATTCCATTTGCTTTGAATTCTACTCCTACAATTCTCATAATCTTTTCATTCCAAGTAAGAGCTGAATTTGGAAACCTTCCTCACATTCATTTTACCAACTAATTTCTGGTAAACATCTTCAAAAGTTATTTTGAATTACTTAGTTAATAATTGGCAGACTTTGGCACATTGCACTATCAGATAAGCCTATACGAAAATGCTAGTTCATTCTCCCAGTTAAACAAAGGCATTAAGTGTTTATTTTTTCTTTTTTCTTTTTTTCGTACACAATGTGTGATTCTTACATTCGTGGATATTCACATTAACACAAGGACATGTGCTGAAGATGCAGTCAACGAGTTTCGATTAGGGCCTGACTTGCAGAAAAGTTATACCTATAATTAGTTACCTTGTACTAATGTGCACAAATGAATTCATCCTAAAATAGCAATATCTCGAAAAAAAAAATACTAACGAATTGACAAACACAAGCTCTGCATACATATTATCCATGCATTTAAAGAGAGAATCGCTTGCAAGTTTCAACTAATTAATGAGTTCGACAGAGACAATAATGCAAATACTTCACCTTGTTTTCATTGGGAAAAAAAATAAAATAAAAACTAGCATACCCAAATTACAATATTAACACGCTTCTCGCAAAAACTAGTATTGGAAAGGTGAAGATGTACCTTCTCAATGGATTTCCATCAAGTCTCAAGACCTGTAGGCTCGGTTCAAGAAAACCCTGACCAAAAAAAAAAAAAGGGAACCATCATAGCTTTAGAATACTGTAACAAATAAAGTCCCTTGAAAAAAAAAAAATGTAACAAATAAAGTCTGGACAAACAACTCCTAGTGGCATATAAGTCATGGATTAATATAGTTGAGGAGCATTATTTCGCTTGGTTAGAGAACAAATTGTTTTTATTCCAGCAAAAAACAAACATAAATTTCTTATTTAGACTTTTACCCGGAAAAAAAATTGTATGAAAAATAAAAGAAACAAAAAGACAGAAAATAAATTATGCTTCTAGATATGATTATTCTTATCAAACAAAATAAATTATATATGATTATTTATCATCTTTCACATGACATAAGCCAACCACCACAAGACTATCAAAAAAACTAATATGGGTCAAATAGTGGTGTGGAGGAACAGCAGGACCAAATATCGGGTCCATCCCATTGTATCATGCTACATGAACACAAATAGCTTTACAAACCACAGGATTAGAGATATATTCTTATTTTTTATGACTCAATAATTAGAGATATACTGGCAACAATATGAAACCTCCAGTCTTTCTTCTTCTTTTTTTTTAGTCATGCAGTAAGATAAATCTACAAATACAATTTTGAAGGCTGCTCATGCTCACCAACTCTGGTGGAAGTGCCGATATGCTATTGTCTGATAGATCAAGCTCAGTGAGAGAAGTAGCATTTTTGAAACCCTGCCATTGATGCATCAATATTTTTTATAAGAAACGAGACTTTTATTTAAAAAAAAAAAAGTGAATAGGGAAAGAAAAGTGAATAGGAGTAGAAAAGTGAATAGGAGTAGAAAAGGGAACAAGTAGTCCACCAGCAACAAACAAAACAATGAAACATAAACAAAACTAATACACTGATAAAAAAAATAAAAATAAAATCTAAGGACATCCAAATGGAAAAAAGAATGAGGAAAAAATATTTTATTAATTCCAATAATTTACACAAGCCACTAAAGGGCTATATAGACAAGAGTTAGATAAACTCATTGGAGAAAAGAACTTATCCCTAATTCTATTGTTAGCCGATCACTATCTAGGAAATAGATAATCACATGATCCCTGGCCCTAGCCGGTCATAATCCTTAGGAGATAATACTTGCTTCTAGAAGATAATGTTAAAGATAATGCGGCTATTTCCCACACTCCCCCTCAAGTTGGTGAATAGGTGTCTCTCATTCCTAGCTTGGTTGTAATTTCTTGGAAGGTAGTACTATTAAGCCCTTTGGTGAAGATATTGGCTAGTTGATCTCCTGTGGGAACATATGGTGTGCAGATCAATCCACTATCTAGCTTCTCCTTGATGAAGTGTCGGTCCACCTCGACGTGTTTTGTTCGGTCGTGTTGCACTGGATTATGTGCAATGCTGATTGCTAATTTATTATCGCAGTAGAGTCTCATCGGCCTACTCCATTTAATCTTCAAGTCCTCCAATATGATCTTCAGCCATAACAATTCGCAGACTCCTTGTGCCATTGCCCTAAACTCAGCTTCTGCACTTGATCGAGCTACAACATTTTGTTTCTTACTTCTCCATGTCACCAAGTTGCCTCCAAGGAATGTACAATATCCGGAGATAGACCTTCGATCCATGGGAGATACTGCATAATCTGCATCCGTGTAAGCCTCAAGGACAAGTTTGGAGTTCCTCTTGAACATTATTCCCTTTCCTGGGTTAGCCTTTAGGTAATGAAGCACTCGGTAGGCTACTTGTAGATGGACCTCCTTGGGATTATACATGAATTGGCTGATGATGCTTACGGAATATGCTATGCCTGGCCGGGTGTGTGCAAGATAAATGAGTTTCCCAACTAGTCTTTGGTACATTTCTCTGTCTACTGTTTGATCACCTGTGGCTTCTCCAAGTTTATGGTTTGCCTCTATAGGAGTTGCGGCTGATTTACTAGCGAGAATTCATGTTTCTCCGAGAAGATACATGACATATTTCTGCTATGAAATGAAGATGCCATGTCTTGAATGTGCCACCTCAATCCCAAGAAAGCATTTCAACGTTCCTAATTCCTTAATCTCGAACTCTTTGATTAGGCGATGCTTCAAGGCTTGTTTCTCCCTCTCATCATTTCCTGCTACAATAATGTCGTCCACATAGACTATCATTTCCTGCTACTTTGGTGAATCTTCCAAACCAAGCACGGGGTGACTGTTTTAAACCGTACAATGCTTTCTTTAACTTGCATACTTTATCTTTTTCAACTCCTCCGAACCCCGGGGGAATGGTCATATAAATTTCCTCTTCCAAGTCCCCGTGAAGGAAGGCGTTCTTCACATCATACTGTTGTAGGTCCCAGTTATAATTGGCTGTCAATGACAATAAGATCCTCACTGTGTTCATTTTTGCGACTGGCGCGAAAGTCTCTTGATAATCCACCTCATATGTCTGAGTGTACCCTTTGGCAACGAGTCTTGCTTTGTAGCGCTCTAATGACCCATCTGCCTTGAATTTTAGAGAAAAGACCCATTTGCATCCCACTACTTTCTTTCCCCTCGGAAGGTCCACTATCTCCCATGTTCCGTTTTGTTGAAAGATTATAATAATTTGTAATTATTGTAATAGATAGGATTGTTTTCTCTATTTTAGGAAATAGCACAAATCTAATCATATCATATCAGATTTGATTAGGATATTTTCTTTAATAAGGGTATCAGATCCCACTGTTTGCTGGTGTATCCATCAACATTATTTGCTGATTCTAGCATATTAAAAGATTATGGTTGTACACGGATATTTTCAAGAAAAACAGAAGAGAAAAAAACCTCTGAGAATTAGGATTCTTTTCTCTAAACTCTCTTCAATTTCTTCAATTATTTTTCTCTCTTCTCACTCAAATAATCTTCATGGTATCAAAGCCTGTATTCTAATCCATATCATCTCCAATCTGTTAGTCGTCTCTATTCCTCTTTTATTTTCTGTTCAAACCTAAATGGTCAAATACGGAATGGCTTCATCAGCAACATCGGCAACATCCTCCACAACCATTTCTTCTGCTCGAGAGACTGGCAAGCCTAGCATCCCTGCAAACTCCGATTCCATGCTGTTGCCAATTACAAGTCACAAACTAACTGATCGGAATTATCTTCAATGGTCACAATCAATCATGCTTTTCATTTGTGGTAAAGGAAAAGATGATTACCTTACGGGAGGAACAACTGAACCAGCGCAGGATGATCCGAAACACAAGGTTTGGAAAACTGAAAATAGTATGGTCATGTCATGGTTATTAAATTCCATGACCAAGGAGATTAGTGAAGAGTTCTTGTTCTATGGCACGGCTTAAGAGATATGGGAGGCTGCTGATGCTTAATATTTTCGTATAATAAATTTCCGCAAGCGTACGGTGTCAAGTTTTGAGTATAGGGTGAGTTAGTATCGTTTCCACATGGATTGGGTTTAGAATTGCCGTTAAGTACCGCGATTATTGTAACTTCACTTTATCTAGGCAACCTAATAAGATGATAATTAAGAACAAAAACAAAATAAGTATAAAAATAAAAATAAAATATCTATACACAAATGGTCTAGGGACTTGATTTCGCTTTATTATTCCTATGTTCATCCTATTATGTAATCGCTAATCAATTCCGTTCAATTCATTAATCAAGGCTCTAATGTCACCTCGTAACCTCTCTCAAGTGCCTCACAAGGAACTATATTTAAATACCCAAAACAATATCCCTATTCGAAATGAATATTTAACACAAATTAAGCTTCGCCTTTAGAATTAAAAAATAAGAATATTGATTGCCTCCCGGCCTCACAACGACCTAAATCCTAATTTGATTATCTAACCGTTGATCTCCTCCCGGTCTCAAAACAACCTAGACTATGTTTCTCAAATCTAGATAAAGAACTTAATCTCTCCCGAGCATCAAATTCGCAATCTAAAAATCATCTAACTCATTGGCCACATATATTAGAAGCATTAAGCATAAAGAAACATAGATGAATTGAAAACGAAATTAAATTAACAATTAACAAAATATTCAAAACATAGTTCAAATAAAATTACATCAAGTCCTAGATTTAATGTCTAGCTCAACATGAAAAAATAGATGAAAGAGGATAAAACCCAATATCTATTGAAGAGCTTCCAAGGACCTCCAAGATGAAGGATTTCGGCCTCCTTTTGATGTTTTCTTCAGTTTTTCGGGGCTCCCCTTCTCAAGTGGCATCTCTTTCCTTTTATACTACTCAGTTTTGGAGCTAGGGTTTCATACGCGCGCTGCAGCCTGCGTGAAAACGCGCTGCAGCGCGCGTTTTTGGAAGAAGGATTTCGCTTGCAGGGGGCTGAGGCGCGCTGCAGTGCGCGGGGCAGGTATTTGGGCGCGCTGCCGCGCGCGGGCAGGCTAGGGCGCGCGGGGGCCAGGGCGCGGGCGCGCGCCCCATTCTGACTTGGCTTTCCTTTGCGCACTGTAGCCCGCTTTCTTGCATTCCAAAACCTCCTCTTTTGTGCCTTAAAATCCTCTTTCGCCTCTTGCCATTGATTCACAAGTTGGGCAAATATTTTTCTTTTCTTCATGCAAAATCATCCAAGTTCGCATTTATTTCTAATTCCTATAAAAAGCATACAAAAGACATTAAACTAACAATAATGCTTGAAAACTTACAAATATTTATCTTATCTACGAGAATTTCTGCTTCGCTGCGGCTGTACGACATGAGTTTAAGTATACCAAATAAAGGTCAAACCCCGCTGAAGCACTGTAAAAATGTTGACCACGATTTCTAGCGCTTTTCAAAAACCATTTGCTTGCAATGCCTTGAGTTTAGTTCTTGAGTTCGAGCCTTTCAAGTGAAGTATCCAGATTTACGTCTGAGTACTTAAAAGTACTTGATTTGTTGGTAGAAATACCCGTCATCAGCTGCCAAGGAAACATACTCCGACCACAACCGAGCCTGGCTTTCTCAAAAACTTCAAATGAGCCCGAACCTGAACCAATGACTTCAAATCAGGCCGAACCTGAACCAATTCCAGATAACCCTCCAATTGAAACTTTTCCAGAACCACCTCAGAACTTGCATGAAAAAGAGCTACATGTTTATACAAGGAGGAACAAGCCTCAAGAAAAGGAAGAAATTCCAATTCTTCCTGAGCAGAGTCATGAATCCAAACTCATTTCAGGAAATGAAGGTAACAATGTTGCTAATGAACCTGTTGACAATAACCTTGATGTGCCAATTGCCATAAGAAAAGGTGTTCGGGAATGTACAAGACATCCTATTCAGAGATTTGTGTCTTACGCTGGTTTATCTCCAGAATTCAAGGCGTTTACCACTAATCTAGTTGATATTGAGATTCCACATAACATTTATATTGCTCTTTGGCAAACCAGAGTGGAGGAAGGCAGTTGAAGCAGAAATGGAAGCACTTGAAAAGAATGGCACTTGGGAGCTGACAAAGCTACCACAGGGAAAACGTCCAGTTGGCTGCAAATGGATATTCACTGTCAAAGTCAAACCAGATGGGAGTCTAGACCATTACAAAGCAAGACTTGTTGCCAAAGGTTTCACGCAAACCTACGACATTGACTATCAAGAAACATTCTCACCAGTTGCAAAACTCAACACCATTCGTGTGCTTCTCTCCTTAGCCGCTAATAAGGACTGGTCATTGCATCAGTTCAATGTCAAAAATGCATTCCTTCATGGGGATTTAGAAGAGGAG